CCTGTGCTGAAAGTTGTGCAAAGCTCTCTACAGTGGAGAGCTGTCTCACAGAGCCCAGTGTGGGGCTTGGCCATCCCAAGGTACCCAAAGTGAGCCTCTAGAGGGGCTCCGGTTTCTGGCACCTGCCTTCCTGTGCTGGTAGCAGAAATAGGAGGACCTGCAGACAAAAACAACTTGAAGAATTTGCAGCCATTGCTCTCTGAGGCCTGGGTGCAAAATATTTTAGCCCAGGATAAGTGAAAGGATTTCAGCTTTCGCTTCCTGGCATCTTCTATGCCCACAGGCAGAATCGGCTGGTGGGGCAGTGCAATTTCACCACCTCTCGTCTCTCAGCTGTGCCACAGACTTAAATGTGGCTTGGTGTGGAAGTGAAACCAGCACAGCCCTCACCTGGAGGTATTTGCCAAATGGGATTTGTCTCCCAATTGAAGCCATCTTTCCTTGCTTTCTAAAATAAATAACTGAGTGAGCTTGGGACTTAAAGTAAACAAAGACCAAGATGCTACCAAGTGCAAATGACTAAAGGCTAGAGGAAGAGAAAACATTGTTCTAGAAATCTCTGGCATGGTGCGGGACATGCAGAAGCACCATTTTCAGAAGAGAGGGGAGGTGCAAGTGATGGTCACTGTTTAAATGACAACAAATGGAAAAGGTGGAAGTTACTATTTTGTACCTGAGCGCTTTCAGGGACCATGTGCCACCGTGGCATGGGAACTGTGCAGTTCTCATGCTGCAGTGCTCTGGCATCTCAGCAGTAAACTGCTTTTTGGTTCCTTGCACTGCTAGCTAGCTGAAAAAGCTGTGAGTGATGAGCAAGCAGTGCATGTCTCCCTTCAAGAAAAAAACATTCATTCAGCTTTTGTTATTCCTTTAAATTTTCCCTTTCTCCTAACAGGATCGGTAAGGATAAGAAAACAGCTGAATAAATGAGAGCCTGGTAGTCAGTTGTGTGTCCCAGAACTAGATGCCAGGTTTATTCAGAGTATGGTTACTTGCTATTAAAATCCTCTGCACTAAGGAGTGCAGTATGCATTATACATTACCATATTGCTGATGTTGTCCCCATCACACAACAGCCTTTACCATGCCCTGTTAACAGACTGAAGTTTTCTGGGGGACCTCCTGGTGTACCATAGGCAAGCCAAATTGCAGACTGCATAATCCCTTGAACTCGCAGGATGTGTGTACCCTTGTAAGCTTTTGGACCTTCCGTTTTCTGTGGAAGCCAGTCACCCAGGGTTATGAGAGTGGGCTCTGGATGCAAGTGGGAAAACCTGTGTGGCCACAGCTGAGTTCCCAGCATGGCAGCAGAAAGGAGAGTGCCGTGGGACTGCAGCTCTCAGCGGGGAAGAGGCAGCAGCCCCGTGGTGCACAGGCACTCACAGGCAAGTAAAGGGAGAGAAGAGAGAGCCTGCAGCCATGCTGCAGCATGCCCTGCCCTGCCCTGCACTGAGGTGGCAGAGGGTTTTTCCTAGGATCTGGTCTGAAAAAGCAAAGTGCAGATATAGTGATGTATTTGTCTTGAGGATGAAAGTCTTAGCCAGGCTTCCCAGAGCTGAGTCTTTGGTCATTCTGGAGCAGTTCTCAGCATACTTTATTGGGACGGAGGGAATGGCAAGTTTTCCTCCTCTTCAGCTGTTTGCTGCCAACTGGAGACCAAATGTTGTGGCCACTGGCAAAGCTCAGGATATATCTCATAGCTGCTTTAAACTGCACAAGTTGGCAGCCAGCTCTGGGTGCTGCTCAGCTGCCAGGTGTGCCAGGACACAGAGCTGTCTGCTTCCTTTCCTCTCCTCCCTGAAGCCCCATCACTGGCAGGTTCCATGGGCAGGTTCCCCTCCAAGCAGCTGCCCAGCCCAGCACAGTCTCGCAGAAAGCACCAGGTCACTGCTGCAGAACGGGCACCTGAGTCAGAAATGATCATTGCCAAGAGGAAAGGAGTATGTTAAGTATGACATTTAGCTTCTAGCCTTTCACTAAAGGTGAAGTAACAGCTGTGACAGATGAGATTATTTTATAACCAAAATATTAAAAGAAAGTGCTTCAGATGTAGAAGGAAGCAAATGCAGCAGTGAGGCAGGATGGGTGAATAGCAACACACGCAGATAAAAGTTGCATGTCAGTTTAGTTTCTTCTGCGTTGTGTCACTCCATGGATCCTCTCTGAAGGAGTTGTATTGTGAATTAATAAAGGCAGGAAATTCCTTCTATTCCTCCTCGTTGCCCTCAGCTGCGCTTCTTTATATGACGTCCAATTTTGTAGCTGTTGTCAATGAAAGCCATACAGTAGCTTCCATTGTAAAAAAATTAAAATCAGATATCTGTCTTTGATTCACTAAATCAGGGCATTCTCCTCACACTATAATGATGTACGTTTGAATTTGTACCCTATAACAGCTCTTTCAAAGCAGAGCTTTGCAACTCCAAGCTCAAAAGACGGGAAGAATGACCCATACAATGGCACATTTCTTTGGCATGTTCCTGCAAATATTCTAATTTGTTTTGTTGTTTGTTGGGTTTTTTTTAATAAGAAAGTTGTGGAGAAGTCCCTAGTCTGTTGCACAGACAGTTATTTGTTCTCCACAACAGAAAATTTTGCTCCTCACAATGGCCAGGTATTATGTTCTCACAGTACTTTGAAAAGATTTGTTAGTTTAGTTCATTTCTCAAATTTATCTTCCTAATGTCAGTATTGAACTGTTATTTCTGTCAAAAAAATAAAAACTATTCAGATGTGGAAAAATACACCCCCAAGCTGCTAGGAAAAAAGGTTGAGAATATAGGAATGTTGTAATCTTTGCCTGTATGATGTCACATTATCCTGAGGAATGGAGGCAACACAACAATTTATACCCATCGCAGATTGTGCAGTGTAATCACAAAGTGGGGTTTTTTCCACAAATAGGTCTCAAATACCACACAAAAGTCACTAAGACTATTTAGTTTCAACAGATGCAGCAGTTTAGCCATGATTATTAGACATTTTGTCCATTGACACCAGAGGAGTGTGTAAGCTCTACTGCTCTCATGTACGCTATCTTCTATTTTTTTTAAACAATGTTTGTCATCAGAAAGGAGCCAGTTCCATTAAATATCACCTGTTCCTAGCCTCTTTACTGGGCAGAAGAGTCTCCTACCCTCTTTGGATTACAGTGGAAAACAGCACATGCAAGTAGAAAAAAAAAGGAATCGCATCCCTGGAGCCAGGTCTCTTGCTCAAAATCTGAAGGCACAATATAACTAATTCCCCCTTTAGGGAAAAGAGAGTCCTTCTTGATTTGGCCATTCAGCTCCCTGGAAGAGCTGTGGTCTCCCCACTTTGCAGATGAAGGAGGGCTTCTCCTTCTCTTTTACCAGCCCTGCTTTTGTCACCATACCTTTGCAATGCACTTCTGCATCAATTCCCTCAGTGTAACAGGGACCAAAGGATAAATCCATGCAGTTCCTCAGAGCAGATGCAGTGATATGCTCCCCCCACGGCATCAGTTGTGGCATCCAAGCGACTGGCTGTGCAGCCAGGTCTGTGGGATCATTGCCCCCAGGCAGCACGAGGGGTGTGTGCCCTCTGCATTGTCCCTTCTCACACCTTGAGAGGTCACATCTCCCATCAAGCCATGCACAAAGCAGATGCACAGGAATGTGCAGAGGACCCCGACATTTGGGTTGTTGCTTACCCCCCATGCCACCTAGAAAAGAGCAGAGGGACCTCCTTCCTGGCCCACCTCCTCTGTGGCTACCCACCATGAAGGACGTCACAGCCACAGGGAAAGTCTGCTCAGACTTGTACTGGGTAATGTAGTGTTGGCCTCAGCAGCCTCCTTATGGAAGATCTTGGAACTCTCTACACATCTAGGGTGGCACAGAAGGAGCTAAATGGTAATGGTGGTGAGTGAGGCCTTATCATTTTACAAGAAAAATTTGCAAAAAAACAGCTTGTACTTTGCTGAGGCTCCAAACATTAGTGAGCTCAATATTTTGTTTTTGAAAAACGTTGCAAATCCAGCCTATAAGGGCTATTCCCTTGCCATTGTTTAGATTTCTTGTTTCTTCTGTGTTGACTAAAATGGATTCAGAAAAGGTTGCAAGAGTTTTCTGTATATTTTTCAAGAAGAAATAGTGATTTTTCTGTCTTTCTGACGCTCAAAAATAACTGAATGCTTTTGGGGTCAGAGCTCAGGCATGGCAAATTTCAGAAGCATGCAAAACAACTTACAAAGGAGGCTGCAGTAAAAGCTGCTAGACCTAACAATAACATGTAGATCCTGAACTTAGGAGATCCTTGCTAATTTACAGAACCTCTCAGAAAGAGAAGGAGAAAACCAGTGTCCATCTCTGCCATTGCTTCCTTCTTTCTGACTTACTGAGGATTTGATGGGGGAAAGAGGGAGAGGGAAAGAGGGCAAATTAGTTATTACCAGCTATCTTTTTCATGCTGTGCCAACAGTCTCTATATGTAGGGCATGCAGCTGTGGGCTGTCCTTTAAGTGAGTGCTAGTGCCCTGCCACTGCCAGGCTGCTGGTGCATCCTGCACAGGTGGCACACTTGGTCATGTTGTTCTTCTGCATTCTGTACCTCAGGTTCATTTTTGAGAGAGTCACTGGGCAATCCTGAGCACAACAATGTCCCTGGACATGGTTGGTCTGTATATTTCCTTTTTATTGTGGCCCACATCACTTGAAAGTGGAGGTCTGGACCTTCTGAGTTTGCATATTTAGGGAGGCCACACAGCAGATGCACATGGCACAGATGCAAGTCACAATACAGCAACACAATACAGTTACCAGCAAAGGACATGGGGAATAATACTGCTGTTTTGATGCATGTTTCCTTTTTTTTGCAATGAGTGTGCTATTAATACTGCCGTCACCAGAACTTTTGTTGTTGTTGTTGTTGCTTAGATCAAATAGGACAGGGACGGCGTAAGGAGCTGCTGTTGTTCTGGCTGCTGCTGTGCGAGATGAACTGATGAATAACGTGTGTGATTTCTCTTTCCCTTGTAGTTGCACTCTGCAGTGACCAGGATCCAAGTTCAAAGACCTGGTTTCAATTACACGTTTGCCCATATATGTATCCTGAACAATGACAAGACATGCATAGTGGACGACATAGTGCATGTACTGGAGGAATTAAAGGCTGCTCGTTCTTCTAATCGAACTAATTTTGCAATCACTTATCCGATTACTCACTTAAAGGATGGCAGGGAAGTGTATAACGGGCATCAGCTCGGTGGGGTTACTGTGCACAGCAAGGACCGGGTGAAGTCTGCAGAAGCCATTCAGCTCACCTACTACTTGCAGGCAATCAACTCCTTGAATGACATGGTGGCAGAGAAGTGGGAATCCATTTTTTGTGACACTGTTGAACTTTTCCAGAAATCCAACAGGAAAGTCAAAATGTATCCTTTCACTTCTTCTTCGCTGAAGGAGGATTTCCAGAAGACGAGCAGGGTGTCAGAACGCTACCTGGTCACAAGCTTGGTCCTTGTGGTCACCTTGGCCATTCTCTGCTGCTCCATGCAGGATTGTGTCCGCAGCAAACCCTGGCTTGGCCTGCTGGGATTGCTGACTGTGACCCTTGCCACCCTGACCGCAGCTGGGATCATCAATCTCACTGGTGGGAAATACAATTCCACCTTCCTTGGAATCCCCTTCGTCATGTTAGGTAACTATCTCCTCTCTCTCTTTTGTGTGTTTGTGCCTACCTGACATTTCCCAGCAACCAGAGAAGCATCACTGCATGGTTCCTGTTGCCTCATCCCTGCAGCACTGCCCCATGCCAAATCCACACTGCCTCTTCTCCTAAACTGTTTTTACGGTGTCAGGATGTTAAAATCGTACCAGGGCCTCCGGTATGGCATAGCATCCTGCCACAGGATGTGAGGCCTGTGCAGTAGCAAGGAACAAGGATGTGTGAATGCCATGCTTTGTGCAGAGTGGGAGCAGAGCTGTTCTCTGTGGATGTTTGATTCTGGTTTCGGAAGGAGACCTTTGCAGTGGTCCTCATGCAACATTGACAGTGTCAGCTGTGCTGGCAAACCAAAGGGACTGCCCACATTGGGCCTTTAGAGAGTGCTGGCTCCTTTAGAGAGCAGAGCAGCGCTGTCCTGGCTTGGCAGGCACCTGTCTGTGGGAAAAGGGTGGTGGTTGGTTCTGGGTTGAGTTTCTCCAGAAGTCCCTGTGTTGGCTGGCTGAGCGTAGGGAGGGTTTCACAGCCCTGAGGGAGAGAGCTTTGACACCCCTGGTCAGGAACAGACCTGTCTTGTCAGTGCCAGCACATCCTACACTGAGGGTAATGGATGGAAGCAGCGTTGGCTACTCTCTGGCTCTTGTGCCAGCGGAGGCATTCTCATAACCCTGGCTTTTGTATTGCCTTCACTCACTGTGGGCTACAGAGTGGTTTCAGTTTGTTTTGTTTTCTTCAAGGGTAGGAAAAGGAGGAGAGAAGGATGATCTTGCTCCCAATCTGAAGTCAGTGCCCTCTCTGGTTGGCAGAAGGGAGTTTGTGGGGATGCCACATTATTGTACCGAAACAGGCAGGAGGACTTCATGGGAGACAAAATGAGAGCTCTGGAGAGTTCACAGCCTCTTTGTTTGGGTTTGGTTCATAACCAGTGTGAAAAGCTCTGTGCGCTGTAGGTGTTTAATATGTCCTTGTTCATGCCATTATTCATTTGTGGAGAATAATGCATGCATTGATTTGATCACAGCTTCCCCAGCCGAAAATCAGTGCTCAGTAATACTTCAGGTTTCAAGTGTGAGAGTGTCTCCACTGACTTAGTTACACTGTGTAGTGATATGACACGTTTCAAGCACAGTTATTTTTGTATCCAGCACCAGGTTCCTATGCCATGGCAGTACTGTAGTACTGTTGCACTGTGGTATTGTTGCACTTTAATTAAAGACTATGCTTCAGTGCATCACACTACCAGTTAATGTACAGAATATATTCAGTGACAAAGAGAATTCAGCTACATTACATCGGCTCTCATTTTCAGATGACATCCATGAAAGTTAAATTATATTGTAAGCTAGAGGAAATGCAGCATGAGAAAATCAGAGTCAAAAGAAGGGTATCGCTCTGGCCCGAGTCTTTGGTTTCTTTGGTGAGTTTTTATGCCTGCTGATGTATTATAAAATTAAATATTCAAACTAAGTAGTGTATATTACATGTAACGTTACATAGGAGGGAATTTCCAGATATGTTACAAACGTAGCAGAAAAGCAGTCTAAAGTCCAACCATATGAAATGAAAGTACATGGGGAAAATTACTCAAAAATATGAAATATTATCTTTGTTCAGGGATCAAAGCATCTGCTCTCTGGGACAGCTTTTCAGATCTTTAATTTGCTAACAGTGATGGTGCTGAGACTTGAAATCTTCAGAAACTTATAGATTAACTGTGAAAAGTTTCACATTTCTGTTTAAGTACTCATTTAAGTACTGAGCTGTATAGCCAGATCTGCTTTTCTTTTCCTTTTTTTTTTCTGTTGTGTTTTGGTGATTTTCTGGGGTTTTTTGAAGGGGGGGGTGGTTTTTTGGGTTCTTTTTTTTTGTTTTTTTGGTCTTGCTTAGTTGAAGTATTCCACTCTTAAAAGGGCAGCTCAGCTCTCGCTGTGAAACAAGCCAAGACAGAGCAGCCAAGTTCAGGTGAATCTTGTTTGCTTCCCCAGCTGCATAAAATCTCCCAAGGGATGGGAATACCAACAGGTGAACAGAAGCACTGAAGGCATTTTGGAGTTTTTAATGAGACCTGTTTTAAACTGGCAGATAGCTAGAAAGGCAGGGTTGCCTTATTTTGTTGCTGCAGTGCAGCGGAAAGATTTGTCATGCATTTCAAAATGTATTTCATACATATATGTTGTTTTGCTTATAAAAGATATTTTAACTCAAGGTAACTGAAAGCTAGAGACACTAACCACCCTCCATTATAGCCTGCACAACTGCTTCCATTTAATTTCAGTGACCATCGGATTAGATCATAGATTAACTGACCTTTAGAAAGCTGAAGGATTTCTGGCTAAGATGTAGCCCTGTATCTATTTCTCATAATCTCAGGGCTAAAAGCAAAAATTAGATAGAAAAAAAGATTACACTGGACACATTTCAGGCAAGGCCCCTTTACTGGTATACATCATTAATGAAGTTTTCCCGGTTTATAGCAGCTGAGGATTTTTAACTTTTCATCAGCATTGCGGAGGTGGGGGGACGCTCTCCAGACATCATCTGCCCTCTGACACAGGACAGGATTACATCTTTCATAACAGATACTTTTCTCCATGCACTTTGTCTTCTCCTGTGACTGCTTCCTCCTGTGTTTCACTGCGCTACCGCTACAGCATTTGCATCATGTCTAACCTGAATTCCCCTTTTGCAACTCAGCTGTCCTCCTTATTTATCCACTGCGTCTGGAAAATAATTTCTTTTCTTTTTCTTTGCAAATTTGGGACCACTCTCACTCGCCCAGTCGTCTTCCCTTTCATCCCAGGTTTCTTCAGACTGTGCTAATCAGATTTCCAGCAGTCTTCTTGCTTTTGACCATTCCACATCTTCCATGGAGTGTGGTGCCTAAATCTGGGCACAGCATTCAGGCTGAGGCTTTCAGCAGCAAGTAGAGTAGGAGGATGATTTTGCACATCTTGCATGTGGCACTGCTGTTCATACATCGCCATATGACGTTCATTTTTTCCTCAGCAGTATGAAATGGTTGGCATTTGGTTGGTGGCACATGGTAATTCACAGATCCTTCATGTCATTTTGTACCTGTTTTCCCAGTCATTTATTCCAAACAACATGTAGAAGTTTGCCCTTGTCCTTGCTGAATTATAGTTTATCTCACACCATTTCTCCTCCTCACCAAGTTTATCTGGAGGCCATCACTGCCCTTCCAAGATGTATTAACTGAAGTTGGTCAGCAATGTTTTGCAATTATCAATTTTTTCATATTTTCAAGAATTATTTTCTGAATAGTCTGTCCAGTCATAAACCCATTCTAATAATATAGGCAGTATGTCTGCAAAATAGTCTGGTCAAGGTGCTTTCCTTCATCCTGTTTTCTCTGACATCAGCCATTCCCAAGAACAAAAAAGCTGTAGTTAAGGGTAGCAGCCTCTGTAGATGCTGAATCCTTAACTTTTGCATCAACAGGACAATTTAAAGTTATTCAATTGCCATGACCACATTGCAGTCTTAAGCTCAGGCTGTGTAAGGCAGGAATATCATTTGCCTACCCCACCTGTTAAATGTGACATAACAGTTTAAACACTTCATGCTTTGGTTTTCATCACCTTCATGGTAGTTTATTATAATTTGCTTTACTTTTTAATTAAGGCAGGTAACCCAGCTCACAAAAGGTGATGATTTTTATGTCGTGGCAGGTTTTTTTGTACCCCTCACTGGTAGCTAACTGAGTGGAAAAATTAGAAGCCAGGAGAGATGTTGCCAGAGACTTCCTTCCCCAGTAGGCACCAAAAGAATAAAGGTCCCCTTTGGTGACTGGAGGCTGAGCTGTAAGAGCCAGGCAGGAGGTGATACCTGGGGCTGGCCTGAGCCCCTACCAAGGGGCTGCGCTGGGGGTGAGGTCGCAGAGGAGGGCAGGCTGGCTGCAGCCACTGTTTACTCTGGGGATGCTTTGTCAAGTCAAACTAGGAACTGTTAGTCCTCAGCTCTGGATTTATACAGGTACTTCTAACATGAAAATGAAGTCTAAAACCTGGAAAATTGGCAGGCTCCCACCGTTTGTCTGGACGTACTTTGAATTAGTATATGCCTCCGTGGTTTTTTGAAACTACCATCCACATTTATCAGTGTGTAAACAAGTAATTTAAGGACAAGTTTAGTCACATGTCTAGTTCATGTGGAATACTTTGTTGAACTAGGGCTATTCATTTTTGACCCTGTGAACCAAAAAAATTAATTCTACAACTTGGTTGAATTTAAAATAGCAGATTAATAATGTCAGCTGAAAAACAGAATTAAAATTCTGATTTCCTGTTGCCTGCTTCATTAAAAACTACAGATGTTTGGTCTGGCACAGATGCTAACATATTCATCATAAGTTTCCCTTACGCATTAAACACTGTTTAATAACTGCCAGTTCTTGAAAAATACCAGTTTCCTGAAAAAAAAGTGTTACCAAACCATTGAACAACAATCAGCACTGTCTGAACAAGTTTTTGGCATGACTTTTTTTTATTCCCAGAGGTGAAGTAGAACGTAGGCACTCAAAAAAAAATTGCAGCGTAGCCCTTTGCACTGAAGAGAAAACTAGCAATGTGTTTCCTATTCCTTCAGAAACAAATACAGCTTATTCAGGGAGAAGTGGCTCTCTTCAGCTGCCAAGTTCGTGAAAAGCATTGGCCCTCTGAAATCGCGGTGGAATGCCAGGCGCTGCCAGATATGGGCAGGGACACAGGGCCAGCTCCACGAGCTTATATTTAGCCTCCAGTGCTGGCAGGGGAAAACCAGGTAGAAGTTATGAGAGTAGCTTGAGCTTGTAGCATGCTGTAAAAGGAAATGATAGCCAGCCCTGTGTGAAACTCGGCAAAACTTCTTCTTGCCACCTCCTTGAGTCCTCCCATCACGTCCCACCCTTGCAGCATGCCCTTTCTGGGAAGAGATAAAGGGAAAGCAGTCAACAGAGAGGTCCAGGGAGGGCTGACGGA